GATTCATAAACTGTGAAGTATATTGGTTTACGAATTAAACATGAAAAGAACATTTATATATAATTTAAGTATGTAAGATGAAGAGTGAACTTGTATGGGTATGTGCGCAAGAAGATATGTTAAGTTATGCATGATTAAGTTTTTAAATGTTAAGTTTTGATATGAGTTGCACATATTAGCTAAGAAGAGAACTAAATGATTCGGATTCAAGGACATTAAAATCTATTTAATTAGAGTATTGATATTAGTATATGTATTTGATGAAATTTACATGATTTTGGTTAATGAAATTTATTACGATTATTGAGATAAGCATTTTTCTGGATAGAATATATATATTAATTGTTGTATTTACATAAATGATATTTATAAGGTTTAAATGATGAATGATTTGATGTGATTTGCTATAATAATGGGTGATGAGTATTTTTCATAAGAAATAAGGTTGGTGGCATGAAACATTATGTACAGCCATTTATGAGAAGTGATTTCTATTTATGAGAAATAATTACTATAATTACTACTTGGTGGAGTAAAGTATATTGTAATAGTCATCAGCTATTTTTCAAATGTATGAATACCTATGGTTATAAGAAAAGTAAATTGTGATTTTTAGTAAGAAATAAATTACTTTAATCTTTATGTGCATGGTAGTAGATCTTGTATAAATTGAGGCACCTTATGGTTTAATAAGGTATAAGTATGAATTAAATTCAAGAAGACTAAAGAATAAGACAGGTTTTATAAGAATTGTTATCAATTATGTTGGTGTATATGTATTTAAAGATAAGCATAAGATTTATTAAATGATTTAATATAGAATATTTTAAGATAGTTGGTATGATTAGTTTATTAAGACTTGATATATAACTAATGAATGCAATTAATTGATGAATATTAAATGCTATTAAGAATTTATACGGTTACGAAGATATAGAAGAGTTGTTGTGTTATGATGATTATTTGGAGATGTTGGGAGTTTAGAGTTTAATTGGGAGTGTTTTGTATTCACATGTTTGGCGAGCTCAGTTTTTTTGTATTCACATGTTTTGGCCAGCTCAGGTTTTTTAAAGGGGAAATTCTTACATATTTTCTGGTTAGAATTTTTCCCAATCTATTATAAAAAAAAAAACATTAATTCACTTAAACTCGTGATACTCAATACTTCTATTCATAATCTTAATTTTATGATTTATGTATGTTAAGTTAAAGACGGTGTCTCCGGCCACCGAATTGTGGCAGTCCGCTGTCGGGTCTCTCGAGGACTGGGTGACGGGTGTTACAAAATACTCTAAATAAACTTCTTAATTTACCAGTATTGAAATCCTAGCATACATTGCTTTGTAATTTGTGTTTATTGACTCAGCTTTAAAGTCCTTTTTTTGTTTTTGTTTTTTTTTTTTTTTTTTTTTTTTTTGTCCATTAACATCAAATTTCATTAAATTATAACCTTTTCAGTCGAAGAAGAGTCTGATTTTTGAAATTTAAATTAGAAATTTTTTTAATATAATTTGTTTCTCATTATATGTTGAGTTCTAAAAGAGTTTTATTCTTAATAATAATTTTTTATTTTTTATTTTTTATTTTTTATTTTCTTTTTCATTACGGAATTAATATTTAACTACCATCACTTTAATTTAATAAAAGATTTATATCTTTCTTGAAATAAATAGCTGGTCTCTTAATGATTAAACATTTTTAATTTTCTTAATACTTTCTCTTATATTCTAAATATGTTTAACTTGAAAAAAAATAGTGTTTATGAAACTGGAAAAAAAAAACTAGAATTATATATTTGTGTGAGTATGTACATATATTTCTTTCTCTAATGCTTGCATTGGGTAAAAATAGTGTTTATGAAACTGGAAAAAAAAAACTAGAATTATATATTTGTGTGAGTATGTACATATATTTCTTTCTCTAATGCATTGGGTAAGTAATATTGCCTATATAGCCGAAATGATTACCAATATCAATTCATATCATCTTTTCATTTCTTTTTTTTACCTAGCAAAATACTTTATTATTGTTTTTCATTATATTTGTATATAGATATTAATTTGGGATTGAAGACAAGGGGTTGGAGATTGAGTAATGATTTGATTTTCTTTTTAGATACTTATTAGAGTTTTAAGCATCTGTATTTGTAAATTAGGAACTAAATGATTGAGTATAGGGATGAGGTTGAAGTTTATTTTAAGACCACTTTCATTATATAAAAATAAATTAAGTACAGAAAAAGTAGCATTACAAGTAATTTGTACGATAAAATATAATACAATTTAACCAATTGTATTTATTTTAATTTGAACAAAAATTTATACTTTAATATTATATAGATAAAAAATCAAAAGAGAGTAAAAAATGAGTATATAACGAGTATAGTAAATGTGCAATGCACGTCATATAAAAAAGGGTTAATTATAAATTTAATGTTCAAACTTCTTAAAATTTTCTATTTTAGTATATGAACGAAAAAATGTTTGCAATTAAGTGTCTGAACCATAAAAAGTTTATCAATCAAGCGTCGCTTTCCCATGTAGATAGCCTTTCCAAACAGAACGATTTAGGCCATTCATCTAATTAAAAGACATGACATGGCGCCAACTCAGCTGTAGAGGCTGACTAGTAACAGAAGCACAAACAAAAACCTCATTCTTCAATCTCTCTCACCCCTCAAATCCAAAAGGCAATTGACCCTTTCTTGACTATCTTTTCATTGTTTCTCTTAAGCTTGATCAAATCACAATCACAGAAAAATTCATTTCTCAAATCGAAAAACCTATCAAATCTTACGTTAACATAACCCCGAAAAAGCAATATAGGATTCATTAAAATCTGAAGAAATTCAAGGCAAAATGAATCTGTTAATACTCCAAAATGCAAGAAGGATAATGAATTTGCAAAAGGCCAAAATCGATTGTAGACCAGGAAGAGAAAATGATCACCCAGATTAAAGAATGCAAAGAGTAATAAGAAGAAAGTTTACTACAAACAACAGCTCATAATCTACCATGAAAATAAAGCCAACAAAATACCGAGATTGAAGAATGCAAAGAGTGAATAAAAGAGTAATAGAAGAGAGCTTATTACAAATAACAGCTCATAATCCACCATACAAATGAAAGAGCCAATAAAATATTTTCAAAAACTCCAAATCTTGCCTAAGAAATTGGTGACGAGGTTGCGATTGTCTTCTAATCCTATCTCAGAAGCAAAATCAAAATAGGAAAGCGAAGATTATGAGTCCTATCAACACCAATCCACTGTAGTTTGCTTAATAGTACCGCTTTTCAAATTGCCCATAGATTTTTGAGTAACTGTATGGTCCGTGTAATGGTCGCTTATGAGATTTGAGCAGTAAGAGAGATTGAGGAAGAAGCAAGGGTGAGAGAGATTAAGGAAGAAGGATGAAGGATACGTTTGTTTGTGACTTTAAGGAAGTCATGTGATTCTCACGTGCTTCTATTCTCTGTCAACCCTATAGCTGAGTTGGCGCCATGGTAGTTTTTTTTAATTGGATGAGTGGGTAGAAGACACTTGATTGATTAATTTTTTATGGTTCAAAAACTTCATTGTAAACGTTTTTTGTTCAGACACTGAAACATAAAATTTTAAGAAGTTTAAACACCAAATTTATAATTAATCCTGTAAAAAAGACTAGTCACTATTAAAAGCCTCTCACCCTCGCAAATATCTTTCCAAATAATCCAATGAATTTAATCTTTCCTTACCTTACACTTCACCCAAAAGTCCTCAATCGAAACCTATATAAGGGACATTCTCTTCTTCAAAACTAGTTTATTTCTTGTAAGGCGGCTGAACCTTAAAAAAGGAAAGGTGTTCATGAAGATAATAGATTAAGAAGTTCATTGCTTGGAATATTTTGTTTCCGGTCGTTATATTTAAACAAATCTTTTAAAAATTCTTTGTTTTTGATGTCCAATTTAAATCAGTTTTAGTACAAAAATTTTGTGTAATTGTTTATGGTTATAATAACCTAACCTGTAAAACGGATCTTCTGATCCCAAAACTTGTTTCTTGTTTCTAAGGCGGCTGAAGAAACGATGATACAAAAGAAGGTGCATCCACGCGACGGAATGGGAGTAAAAATGAAAAAACAAGGTCACTACTTGCTCTCTTCTTAATGAGTGTTTTGAATATTTGTTTCTACTTGTTATTGTTAATCAAATTAATCTTTTAATTAATTTTTTGATTTTTGATTTTTGATTTTTGATGTCCAATTTAAATGGATTTTTAACCAAAATTTGTATGTTATTGCTGATGATTATTTGTTAAGATGATTGCAAGATGGTTCTGAGTTCTTGTTTTAGTCTATATTGTTTTATGCAAAATTCTTAATTCTATATTGTTTGGCAGTTAAGGTTTACCTCATGGGGAGGTCCGGATTTGAAGCCAAAGGATTAGCCAATATTACAAATGGATTTCATGAAGATAATAAAATTTGAGATTTCCAATTTGGTGAAATTTACCGGGGAACTTGTGGCAAAGTAGAAGTCACCGTGAAAATATGGAAAGATGAAAGCAAATATGAAACGCGCCTTGGCGACCATCAAAGGCGATTTTCTGTAAGTTTTTATGATTAGCTTAAGCATTTACCATGTGTTCTGTAATTTGAGAAGAGAATTCATTTTTAAATTACATAGAATTTGATTTAAATACCTTCAAATTGAAGTAATTGGAGTCCAAAACATTTTGATTCATTTTAAGCAAAGATGAAAACGTTATCTTTCAAATGAATTCCTTAACCAACTTATATATATTATTGTATGGTATATTTAATGCTACATCCTTCTGTAGGATGAAATTCGTTTGCTCGAGCATTTCATAGAAACTAAGAAAGATGAAAACGTTATCTTTCAAATGAATTCCTTAACCAACTTATATATATTATTGTATGGTATATTTAATGCTACATCCTTCTGTAGGATGAAATTCGTTTGCTCGAGCATTTCATAGAAACTAAGTCTCATCCAAGCATGGCAAAGTTGCGTGGAATCTCCATGGAGTCTAAAATTCTGGCCACTGTTTATCATCTGAAGACAATCAATTCAGTACATAATGTCCTCGAAAAAGGTCTCCTTTTTTATTCAGTTATTGATTGCTGTTTATCAGAATTCCTTTCTTTTCTTTTTTTGATTAAAGCAAGGTTACTTGCATTTCCAGATAGTTTTACTTGGGAACAGAGAATCAAGGTTGCTCTTGGATTTGCTTCCTTACTGGAATTCATGCTTGCTGAGAATCCTCCATATATGCCATGTCTGATTCGCAATATAGATGTTGCTCATATAATGCTTGATGAGGTCATTGTCTTTCTTCTATTTCCCTTTTGGTTTTGGAAACTTGTTTTCTCTCTGAAATGTTTGATTGACAGTTCTATAGCATTTAGAGTTTGTTTGGCTTGTAGGATTATAAGCCAGTACTAATTGACTGCAGCATGATTTCTGATGGAATTCTTACTGATAGAATACACATTGTGAATCAATATCTAAAAGGGTGTCGTGGCTGTGTTGATCCAGTTGTTGCACATCGAGGTACTTCTTTTCCTTCTATAGCCTCATAAAGGTTAACCTCCCATGAGAGCAAAAATCCCTCATGTTGAGATGCTTTATTATTATTTGCCCCTCATCTCATTTGCCTGGCATCCACATGTGATTGCTAAAAATTATAATTAACTCTCTTGCTTTATGCTAGCATTCTGGTATATATGGCGCAATTTTGTTTTTGTTGCTGTCACAGACTGACTTTCGTTTTAATTGGAATTGTTTTTTCGCAATATTATTGTCAAGTAATAGTTGCTGAAAAATAGAAGCAAAGCGAGAGAGGTCACAACTTAAGCAATTTTTATTGGCGTTACTTATTAGTATTGCACTTATCAAACTCAAGCTTGCAAAATGCAGAGAACTAGTGATTGTGAAACCTGAAAAGCTTTGGTGCAAACCTTTCTAATGATGCTTGTTTAGATGGATATGTGATTTTATTTTATGAACTATTTGTTTAGTTTGAATCCCTGGGGCATATCTTAACTACCTACATAAATTTCAAGGAACAGTCCCATCCAATGGTGTCAACATCAACTATGTGACTATGCCGCTTGTATCGATTTCTTGTAGGACAGTCCCGGCCATTTCAACAAAACAATAATAAAAGCAAATTGGTACTCCCTGTGATTAGGCCACTCACTGAAACTCTTGTTTTAATGCCCACGGATCTGCCAAGACAGCCTTTGTGCAATGTTGGCCCATATTGCTTTTGACTAATCTAAAGATCATGCCATTGAGATATCATCGTCATTGGTTGTTTTTAGTAGTGTCAGTTCAATTTTTATTTTTGCAATCTTTGATCACATTAGTTACCTTGACTTCTGCAGGTGAATGGTGAGATAAATCTGACTTTCATATGGTGTTCTACTGTTGGCTTTAATAAGCAAAAGAATCCCCAAAGAAGAAGGTGAACTGACCGAGAATGAGCATAAACCACAAAACTCATTGATGAGCTTTAGTGAGCACAAATCTTCGCTTGTGCATCAAAGCTTAGAGTCCACCATATTTTCATTCTAGTGACGGAATTAAAATTGCAAAGTTGGCAATAAAGTGCATGGAATATGATCCCCAGAAGCGCCCAACAATGAAGCAAGTTGTTAGACATTTGCAGACTTTGTTTATAGTTCGTCGACATTCTAATGAGCTGAATATTCACAAGATGCTTAGTGATGATGAAATTATTCTGAGAACAGATAACTGATCAGGTACTTCATATCATTTATCAGACCTTTGTACCATGTTGTCATGACTTTGATGGGTCCAGAATGGGATAGTCTATCTTTTTCTTTCGGCTTGTGGGGGTACTTCATATCATTTATCAGACCTTTGTACCATGTTGTCATGACTTTGATGGGTCCAGAATGGGATAGTCTATCTTTTTCTTTCGGCTTGTGGGGTTGCCTTTTCAGTTAATTGTATTATATCTGTTCCAAAAGGACTACTTGTTTTAAAATGTACTATCACAAATTATGGGTTATTTATTGTTGTCTTATAATGGTAGAATTATGTTCTTGTAAATATGATTACCAAGTCTGGATTTGTTCTAGTTTCATGATTCTCGTTTAACATTGCACTTTTAATTGCCAATATATACAAAGTTATGCTATAGCTTGTTAAGAGATTTACGTGCCTTTTGATGGATAGAGAAGGGCTCTAAGCTAATTCCTGCATGGCGGTGGGGAAATGTCTCTAGATCCATTAATCTCAAACGGCTATCATATAGACATAAGGGTGTCCCTAATCACGGTCCAGCAGGTGCGCAATATTCACAATCAACATATCATTTCTGTTCTTATGTTTACCGCTTAATAATAGGAAAATGCATTATGCAAGGAAATGGAAAATGTTTTTGTGCCCTAAAGTGCAATTTGGCAAGTGTTTTGAGTAATTGGTTACTTTTAAGGACACTTCTCTTGCTTTTGATTGAAAATGTAATTCAAAATTTTCCACTTCAAATATGCATTATGCAAGGAAATGGAAAATGTTTTTGTGCCCTAAAGTGCAATTTGGCAAGTGTTTTGAGTAATTGGTTACTTTTAAGGACACTTCTCTTGCTTTTGATTGAAAATGTAATTCAAAATTTTCCACTTCAAATATTTCTAGAAACCCAGCTTAGCTATCCTGCATGGTGACCCAAAAGGTTACAAATTTTCAACTGAAGGAAAATTTCATAATTCAGAACTATGATTCTTCAAGCTTGTTAGTTGTCGAAAGTTTACGGTCTTAGAAATGGTTTTTCTTTTTCCCCTTCCAATTACTTTGTTTTTATTGCATTGGTTCTTTTACATTGATTTTCTCCCATTGTTTAATTATCTTAGCAACTTCTCTACTTATGTATGAAAGCAAGTTATGTGCATGTATTTTTTTTCATGTTTCAGTGTCTAAATTTAAACTGGCGGTTTATATTTCAACTGTGCAACTTTTATCCTTTCACATGTGAAACTTAAAAGAATAGACATGCGAATATTTACATAGTTGCGTTTGTGGCTAGGTGGCTTGAAAGGATATCCCTTGTTTAAATAAACATAATTTTCTATACATTGATCATTGATTTCAATTGACCTGCCTAGGCAAAAGATCTTCAGCTGCAGAATATGAGAAGATTAAAATATTTTCTTATGAAGAACTAAAAATGTTCACCAATGGATTTAGTGAAGTAAATCTCATGGGGAAATTCCAATTTGGAAAAGTGTTTTGAAGGTGATAATGAAGGCAGGTTGAGAGTATGTTGCTTAACGATGTGCCTTCCTGTGTTTTCAGTTTTATTCTCTTTCTTAAGAAAACTTGCCTAATTCTTTACTCATCTTTTAGGATGAAATTGAATTACTTCGGCATCCAAAGATGATCACGCATCCAAACTTGGTAGAGTTTGTTGGATACTGCTACGACGAACAGCAACTTGGTACTGTTTTTGACCTGGATCCACTGGGTTCTGTATACGAACTTGCACCTAAAGGTACATAGTTCAACTTCTTTTGTTTGTTCTATATTACCATAATAAGTTTGCACTCTGAAAATTTTTTAGGATAGTTTCTTTTTGAATTGCTAGCTGAGTTGTCTGTTTTGCACTAGATAAATTGAAACATGGGTTCTATATTTACATTGACTTATATTTTGGTGATTTAGTAAGTCATACTTCTGTTTTATGTTGCTAGGATCTGAAGATCTATTTTGCAGCAATTGTTTTCAGTCACTGTTATATTTACGAAACATTTATTTTTCAATTTTAGGTTGCTTTACTTGGCTTCACAGAATTAAGGTTGCATATGAATTTGCCTGCCTCAAGTTCTTACATATTCGCAATCCACCGTATCAGCCGTGTCTAGTTCACAACATAGATGCAGCTCATATAATGCTTGATAAGGTCTGCAGCTCATTTTTTTTTCCCCACGCAGTGTTTTTACAAAAAATTTGTAACAAAATTCTTTGATATGCAGGAATACACCCCAAAATTACTTGACTTTGGGATGTTTACTGGTGGAATCATTCTTGATATGAGATTTGACAGAAACATGTATTTACGTGGTTGTTTTGGCTACATGGATCCCTGTTTAATCCAGGGAGGTATGTCAACCGAGTGGCATAATGTTATTCCTTTTGATTATCATATGGCCTATTTTTCTGCCTTGATCAATACATGTATGTAATCAATACAAAAAGACCCTAGAAAAAGTTGTATCTGGGAACTGTAAAACAAGAGTTTCACCTACCTCAATACAAAACAAGAGTGTTGATCTTTGAAGAATGCTGCAACTCAAGGTTTTAAAAATTGTTATCGAGAAGTCAATTCAGACGCCCAGGGCATAAATAAGCATTTGAAGCAGCATCCCATCCTATATTTGTCTTTTGGTCTCAAATAAATGGCTGAACTTTTCTTTTAAATATTTGTTTATGTTTTGAAAGATTATCAGTTTTGGCAATGTTGGTTTAGAAGAGCAGAAAATTAAGGAAGAGAAGGAAATTCTGCAGAAAAAGAAAAAGCTGCAGATTTTGTGAGTGTGAAGAAACAATTAAGAAAAAGGAAAAAGCTGCAGATTTTGTGAGTGTGAATAAACAATATAATTTCTTATTAATTTTCATTACAGCATAATGTAAACATTTATAAAGTAGAGCTAGTCTAAAGTTGTTCACCAACCTTCCATTAAAGTTAAGGAAGGTTGTTCACCAAACCTACCTAAAAGCAAAGGGTTAGTTCACCTACCTCTTGATTTCAAACAAAATACAACCACCTACCTCTTGATTTCAACAAAATACAACAAAATCTAAATGACTTTAACAAAATACCTTCAAAAATTGTCAACAACACTTGCATCAATAGCTGTAGCTGTAACTTTAACACTCCTCCTTGATACAAGAGTTGAGACAAACACCAAGTCTATTCCTAAGAAATTCAAATCTTGGTTTTTGCAATGCCTTGGTGAAAATATCCGCTGTTTGGTCTTCAGAATTGCAATGAATAATCTGAATTTCATTTTCCTTTTCAGCTTCACGAATTGCATGATACTTGATTTTGATATGCTTGGTTTTTCCATTGGAAGATTGGATTTTAACCATAGCAACAGTTGATTTGTTGTCACAAAGTATTTTAGGTTGGATTTTCAATTGCTGAAAATTCAGGATCAACTAATTACCTTTCTCAACCATACATGATAGCTTTGGTTTACAGCACAGATGCTGCAACATACTCTGCTTTACTGCAGTTGATTGAGCAACTAAAGCTTGCTTTCTTGTTCCCCAGCAAAATGACAGCCAAGAAAACCAAGTTGAAAAAAACAAAAACCAGTAGTGCTCTTCATATCGTCCAATGAAACCAGCCCAATCACTGTCTGAGAACACCAACAACTTCACACCATTTAATCTTCTTATAAAACAAACCAAATTCAGCAGTTCCTCGCACATATCTCAGAACTCGTTTGGCATGCTAAAATGTAAGATGGTTTTCAGTTGGAGAATTCTGAATCTCGACAGTAAATTTGTTTGCAATACATGTATCTGGTACAGTAAATTTGTTGCAAACATGATATCTGGTCTTGTTACAGATAAATACAACAAAGAACCAACCATGCTCCTATAAGTTGAAGCATCTATAGAGTGAGAACCATCATCCTTTTGCAATTTTATTCCATGGGCTATAGGTGTACTCACTGGTTTGCATTTGCTAAGTTCAAACCTTTTAAGCAGCTCCCAAGCAAATTTCTTTTGTGAAATAAAAATCACTTGCTCATCTTGAGCAATTTCAATCCCAAGGAAATAGCACATTAAGCCAAGATCATTCATCTCAAAAACCTGCTGCATCTTCAATCTGAATTCTTGAATTAATTGTAAATTGTTACAAGTAGATCGTCAACATACACAGAAACGATAAGCACATCACTTCCTTGTTGAGTTACATAAAGTGTTGCCTCATTCAAGCTGCGTTTAAAACCCAAATTCTTCAAGTAATGATTAATCTTGGCATACCAGGCCATTGGGGCCTGTTTTAAACCATAGAGTGCTTTCTTCAATAAACACACTCTATTGCTTTCATCATTAAAACCTTCAGGCTACTCAATATACACTTCTTCCTTCAAAGAACCATTTAAGAAAGCTGATTTCACATCCAATTGAAAGACTTGCAACCCTTCACTTGCTGCTAGTGCCAAAATCAATTTGATAGTGTTAAATCTTGCAACTGGTGCGAAGGTTTCTGTAAAATCAACCCCTTGCTATTGAGCATAGCCTTTAACAACATATCTTGCTTTGTGCTTATTGATGGAGCCATCAGAATTTAATTTCAATTTGAATACCTATTTAGTTCCAATTACATGCTTATTCAATGGTCTAGGAACTAAAATCCATGTTTCGTTCTTCATAATCATCTTCAACTCCTCCTCCATGGTAGCTCTCCACTCAGGCAATTTTAAGGCTTCATCCACCTGAGTTGGTTCAAGTGAGACAACATTACATCTGCTGTAAATTTCCTCTAGGGATCTGGTTCCTCTAATTGCATAATCATCTTCATCTGATTTCTCTAATTGCATAATCATCTTCATTTGGAATTCTTTCTTCAATTGTCAACTGGAAGTTCTGCTCTTTGCTGAACCGGAATCAAGAATTGATTTAGAATTTCTGGTTTCCATTTTACTCCAATCTCATTCACCTTTCCTCATCGAATTTTGACACTCCTGCTGAATATAACACCTTTAGGTAACAGGATTCAAAAATTCTGTAGGGCTTTGGATTTCACTGCTGGTAGCCTACTAAATTCCTTTTTTTTCAGCTCGTTGATGCCAATTTGCATTTGGAAATAATGAATAACATAATGCTTCAAAGATTTTTGATGTATGACCCAACCGATGGTGGTAACTCCACAACCAGCTTTCCGAAAAGGAAGTTTTCCATCATAGCTTTGGTTGGAAGCCGATTTTGAAAGATATACAGCAGTGTTTACAGCTTCACCACAGAACTTTGGGTAGATTTTTTCACTCAACAAGAAGACATCTCCGCCATATTCAATCACAGATCGATTCTTTCTTTCACTTACACCATTTTGTTGAGGTGTGTAAGACTACTGTTATAATATTGTATGTGTGAAATGCCAGCTTCTTGCAATATTGCTTGAATTGAATTGGGATGTTAAATTCACCCCATTAATACAGATCTTTATATACCAGCTTGGATTCTGTACCAATTGGATTTAAACTTCAATGATTATTATTGATAATATTATTATGATTTGAATGAGGAATAAACCCAGCAGAATTCTGGTGTAGTCATCAATAAACAAATAGAAAAATACTTGCTGTCAATAGAAAATACTTGCTGTCATTGTAAGATGAGACACTCATAGGGCCACACACATCAGTGTGTATTAATTCAAGTTTCATAGAAGCTCTCCATGCTTGATCAAATGGAAATGGTGTTTGGTTGAGTTTGCCTAACTGACATATTTCACATATACTGCTGTCTTCTTCAACTATAGATGGCAAATCAGCAACTAACTTTTTGGATTGTAGCAATTTTAATGAATTGAGGTTGGTGTGACCAAGTCTCTTATGCCACAAATCAGATTCTTCTTTATGACTCAAGCAAGATTCTTCTTTGAAGTCTCTTAAATTTAGAGGAAAGCTTCTTTAAGAGGAGAGCTTCTCCGTTTCATTTTGACAGCAATAACTTTGAGCCAGAAAAAGGATCACGTAATTTCAACAAGTTTTATCTTTTAATAGCAAAAAACTGTAATTTCTTATTCCAAATTGACAACCGAAAACAAGCTTGATTTAGTCCGGTAAACGTAAAGAAACATCGGAAAAGCTTGTACCTGAAAGGGAGTTTGTACAACTTCAGCAATCTCCTTTGCCTTGACATCCAACAACCCTACCAATCTCAAGTCCCTGACTTTTGAAGAATAGTTTGTATCCAAGCTATCGAAATTCACCAAGTTTGGTGTCATCGGTGGTTAAGTGCAGCCACTATCAACAAGCCATGCGCTTCTTTAAGCTTCAAATTGAAGACACCAATTTTCAATTTCAAATTTATAGACAATAGTTGTTCTCATACTTTTCAGAAATTTTTTCGGTGACTTGTGCATGATGATGGGCTTGTGTTTTGCTGAATTCTGGTTTGGTCGAACAACTTTTCTCGGATTTGTGACCAAAATTGCTTACACACCTTAACATTGAAGCTCCAGGGTCTGAAAGCCAGCAGTAGTTATTCAGTGTGCGTATTTGTTTTTTTTGGCAATGTTGGACAAGGTGGAATCTGTTCTTGCACTCAATTTTTCCTGAAAATTCTTCTCATTTTTGGTTTCTGTCAGTTTGCCTTGCCTCTTGAACCTCCTTCTTGCATTTTTTGTTTATGAGTCCCACAAGAAGCCTTCTCTCCGAATGGTTCTTCTTCCTATAGGCTTTTCTTTGATTCTACAGCTTGTAAGAGCGATTTTTGAAAGCACATTCAAGATATTTTGGTGACATGTCCCAAGTTTTCTTCAGAGAAAGAAATCTTGGCTTCAAATTTTTCAGGGAAGAAGTCACCATAACTTTCTCCACAATTCTCTTCCTCCTAACTGCTTCTCCCACAATGACCTATCATCTACGGCTATTAAGCTTTTACATCTTCACATATCTTTTCTCTTTCATTTTCCTTCACATTTTCCTACTCCTATTTTTATTTGTTTGATACTCATCACCTAGGTATTGTCATGCTCTGTAACTTACAAGGAGTTTTGATGTCTTAGACTATAACTTTTCTCGTATTGTGTCTGGTCTCACATTCCTAATCTTTGGGTGAAGAATAGGACTTCTGCCAACAGCTTTTGCATGGATATAGGAAGACTTTTTGGGAGCCTTAGCCAAGCCTCTTCCTTTACATGTTGTCTAATCAGCTGAGCAGCGGGTTGATTTTGATTAAGAATAGGTGGAGGTACTCCTGTTTTCCTCCAACATACTGCCCGAGACGATGCATTATTGTCCCCTTGAATAAGCCTCTCATCTTCACAGCCAATAACATCCGATACAGTTTTTCTCTTCCCCATTAAATGAGGTGGATAAGCACCGAATGCGATGGCCGCGAGATTAATTGGGGATTAAGAAGAGACTTATCCAAATATCCACCATCGGTTACTTGTATGTTGGTGGACTTTCTCTACTGTTATTTGATAGTGTCACACTAAAAGACATTATACCTGAACGAGAAAACAACCCGTAGCTCTCACGACGGACCTTGTTTGCAGTACCGAGTAGAGCCGACGGTCATACCGAAGAGATCGCTGCGACTCGGGAGTTCGGTGATGGCGTCGGGTAATGGCGCATGTGGGCGGGAGGGTTTCCTCGGGAGTTGATGCCCCAGGCCGACAATATCAGCTGTGCGTTGGTTTGATAGTTATGGCAGACGGAACGTCCACACACCCTTTGGAAGATCAAGAGGTTGCTCTGATACCACTTTGTGTGGTTTAGAGAGCAGAAAATTAAGGAAGAAAGAAGGAAAATTCCTGCGAAAAAAAAAAAAAGCTTGCCAGATTTTGTGAGGTGTGAAGAAACAATTTAATTTCTTATAATTCCATTACCAGCCATAATGTAACAATTTTATAGTAGAGCTAGTCTAAAGTTTTGTTCACCAACCTTCCTAAGTCCCAAAGGAAAGTTTGTTTCACCGCAACCTTCCATAAGTGCAAGGAAGGTTGTTACACGCAACCTACCTAAAGCAAGGTAGTTTCACCTACCTCTTGATTTCAACAAAATACAAACAAAACTAAAATGACTTTAACAAATACCTCCAACAAAATACAACAAAATCTAAATGACTTTAACAAAATACCTCCAAAAATTGTCAACAACACTTGCATCAATAGCTGTAGCTGTAACTTTAACAGGCAAGATGTAACTTTGAGAAATGCATGGACAGGTACATGGGTAGAAGAAAGTGATGTGTATGCATACGGTACTGTTCTGTTGGGCCTGATATCCAAAAAAATATGCACAGAAGAAGACAGAGAACGATGCTACCATCATTCGGGAGTGGGTTAGGAGCCAATATCTTCAGCATTGTCTGAGGAAGGCTTCGCCCGGCAGAGGTGTTCATTTGTTGATCGTAGCCTAGAGGCAGATCCAGGTTTTTATCCTAACAATGCTGCTGATCTTACAAAGCTGGCAATGCATTGCATAGAAATGAAGGCATATAAACGTCCTACAATGAAGCAAGTTGTCAAACGATTTGCTGAATTTACGTGTTATGCGCAATCATTCCAAGGAATTGGGCACCAAACACAAAAAGTCGCGGTTGTAAAGATTGCAATGTTTAAGATATAAATAGCTTCATAGTTCTTTAATTTAATCATTCAATAAGCAAGCTTGAGTTTATATGCTGTAAAGATTATAATGTGTTAAAGTAAAATTATTGTTGCATTGTTTATGCTTTTATATCAAGTCAAAATATTGATTTGTATTTGAACATGTCATTTCAGCTCTTTTTTGCTTCTCTAATTTCTAAGTTTGGTTCATTCTTTGCCTAATTTTAAGATGGATTGTAGTATTTCATCTTGAAGTTCACTTACTTCGTACTTATCTGCGCTTTGACCATGTGAATGGTTATGTATTATCAACTAGTTTTTCTCTCATCTTAGGTGGTAGGAGATATTCTATTCATAATAGGAAGAAGAAATAAGACATTAATATATTAAATTTTTCTGCACATGAAAACTTCATACTTCATGTGGCTCATTACAGATAACCCAAAGGACAAGAAGAAATAAGACATTAATATATTAAATTTTTCTGCACATGAAAACTTCATACTTCATGTGGCTCATTACAGATAACCCAAAGGACAATTTAATTATTATTTTGAAAGATAAGAAGAAGGAACTGAAATTATTTCGAACACAATCTGGGCTAGGGGAACTCAGAAATGGAACGAAGAAGAAGAAGGTTGCTAACTAGTAATGAAACAAGGTCACATTATACTCAACAATGGCATCACCAGTAGTGACATTAATGTAACGTGTATAGAGTTCTGCAAATCCTCTAGCCATCCTAAAGTTTCCTCGCCCACCAACCACAGCGAGCTCGCGTTTCGTCTCTGTTACAGGATTTTGTGAACACACAATAAACGAACTTCCATTAAACTTACCTGTTGTGAAACCAAAATCCACATACATAACCAAAGCCAAATCATCTTCTTGCGCAGCTATCACATATAGCCCTTTAGCTCTCCCAATGACTTCTGAGGTTGGTTCGACACCTACCCTCAAAGCATCATCAATGGCATAAAGTGTCCCAAATGAGCTAAATGAGTGGCTATTTTTGGCTTGGGCTATTTGTACTGCACTTGGGTTTTCTCCACTAAGTATATCATGGAAAAAGAAATGGAGATTGGTCTTCTTCTCTTGGTTGTAGTCAGCAGGAATGGTCGAGTAATAGTTTCCTTGCGCATGTGCTATCATAACACAAAGGATCATAGCCCACACAAAGGAAAACTTTCCTTCCATCTTTCTTTTATCTTTCTCTTCTTCTTCTTCCTATCTCTGTAAATATGCGTATAAAGTTATGAATTATGGTTTATATATTTATTTAAACTTCTGTTACTTCCGAAAATTAAGTATTATGGCAACAAATAGGCTAATTATAAGTTTCTTTTTTTATCAGCATTGCAAATATGGGAATTGTTAGGTGGGAATGATATCCAATCCCAAGTTGACAAATTCAGATAATATTCAAAAAATTTAGAAATTCTCATAAATAGTAAATAATTTAACGAATTTCAATTTGACAAGTTAAATTATAAAAGCATTTATACTCAAAAAGAAACTAATAAATAAAATTTTATTTATGGAAAATGATTAATAAGGAAAACATTATATTTATTAAGGTAGGGTGTGATAGATACTTAAAATTCATTTTTTTTTTAAATTCTTGATAATTTATAAATGATACCTTCGAGTATTCTTTCGATAGAGAATTAACTCGTATCTTGTTAAAGAATATGAAAATTATTGTTACAAAAGCTATGCTAATTATGAGTTAATACTTTGCATATAAAAGTCAAAAATGCTAAAAATTATTATTGTTAGTATAAAAAGGTGGACAATGTTACCTACAGGTTGTGGTTCAATTGGCAGCATTGGGTGGACATGTAGGAAGAACTTTTGAATTCTATTCCATTAAACGTATCTGTGGAGAGGGGTGCAGAGCTTTAACTGTGACTAAGTCCGAGTTAGTCACGAGCTGAATTATGCAGTCTTTGGTAATAGAGTTCAAATACCGATGGTTTACATAAAAAAACAAAATAGAGGCATTGTACGAAGAGATTGACACTCGAAAGAAATGAAATGTTGGAAGTTTTCCATCTCAATATCCCTATTTCTTCAATTTGAAAATATTTGGGAGACAACTTATTTTCTCAAGATGACAAATACTTGTTTCCAAGTACATTTCAAAATAAGGTTTTCCAACTTTTCAATCTTTGTTTCCAAGTACATTCAAAACGTGGTTCTCTAAATTTTCGCTCTTGAATATCTTTTGTTAAGAAATAATATCTTCTAATTTTTTGACCAAATACATGAAATCACTTTCGTACTTTTTAGTGAAAAATTTTATAGTACTCTCAATTTTATTTTGATCCATCAAGCATTTCATATTACAAAATTTCACTTATTAAAGGGAGAAATAAAAACACATCCCTAAATTACAGTAAAAATAACACATGCCACCTTCAACGTCTGGACACTAACTCAAACCTCCCTATATTAACGTTTCGTTACATAATTACCACATTCCGTCCAAAACCATACTTGTTTCCGTCAGATGACCAAGGAAACTAAAGTAAGAGGAGAGAGAAAAAATTTAAAAAGAGAAAGCAATACCCTTTGAAAATTTAAAGCAGTTCATGCACTTCTGAAATCAATTCATACATTCAGAAGTAAAATTTCTTTTGATCTTTTGTTTTGACAAGCACACAACAAAAATCAAACACAAACTAGAAAGTCAAAAGCAAATGGTGGGCTCAGCTTCCATGTATTTCGCGTTCGAATATGGAAGAGTAAATATTCATAATTTCTTACTCATCCAAAACCCAGTTGAATTCTGAGATGGAAAATATGGAGAAGAAGAAATTTGACAGCTTGAAGTCCAAGAGAAATGGATTCTTTAGGAACAGATGAAGTAAAGATTCTTTGAATCTGACACTAACACTGTATATTATTGTTGACCCATCAAATTTTGCGAGAACAAGAGGTTTGGGTTGTAGGGCGGAGGTTGCGGTGGTTCTGCAATGGAGGCTTGGGCTTGATATAGGTTGAGATTATGAACGGGTGTTGATGGATTGAGTTTTTACAATCTGGGGTTCCATGGGCATTGGAGGTGAAAGGAAAGAGCGAGAGAGAAAGGAAGGAATTTTTTTTTCCCTATTGCTGTATTAGATTTCTGCGATTTGGTTTCCATGGCATTGGAGGTGAAAGAGCCATCTACGGCTCTTTTTCTTTCATTTTTGTTGATTTTAATTTTTTTTAATTATTTTTTTGTTTATTTTCTTTCAATTTTTGTGATCTGGTTTCGTTTTTTTATTTATTTTCTTTCATTTTTTGCATTGAGATTTTTTTTTTCTATTGTTTCCATGGGTGTGTCGTGTGTGAAGTTGAAAGAGCAATGGCAGGCTCTTTTTTTCACTTTTTATTTATTTTAATTTGCTAATTATTATTAATCAACTGCCCAGAAAATAACAGCAATTATATTTATAGTCAAGGGTTAGTATAGTCATTTTATTAGTCATCTAACGAAAATTGGAATGATTTTGGATAGAGGGAGACAATTATGACGGAATATTAATTTAGGAAGATTTGATTTAGTGTCCATACGCTGAAGGTCGCATGTGTTAGTTTCACTGTAATTTAGTGATGTGTTTTTATTTCTCTCATTCTTAAATATTTTACTTTATAAAATTATTTTATTAAATACTCAAATTTATAAAACTAGATCAATTAAATATTTATTCGATGGTTAAAAATTTGAATTATTGTTCAAAAGTGGTGTCAATCACACGTCAAGTAACTCGTTAGTTACTACGTGAAGATTGGCAAACCAATTGGCAACACAATTATTCACAATTATTATGAAGCTAATTTTGTTAAATTATTTAATAATCTATATGTGGTCCATATGATTAAAGGGCTGGTTTTTAAGATGATCCAAGATGATGGTTATTATGCTTAATGGATAAGGACTAATTAAGGTTTTAATACCTTTCCTCTGCCTTATAAAAGAAAAAGGAATCAACAGCTTAGGGTTAAAGAAAGAAAAGAGAGAGGGTGATAGTTACCTCAAACACATATGGTGATAGATTATTTGAGAGAGCGTAAAAAGAAACTCCATGAAAAGAAACTCCCGTAATTATTGATAATTCTCTGACCATTAAGAGAAAACTTATAGACAAAAGGTTAGAGTGAAGAAACATAGATCTGCTGTTACGGTGAGAATTAAATTGCCACAACGAGGTAATCCATAACATAAATCTGCTGTTATGTATCAAGATACGCTTCCGATTATTGTATATTCCTGTCAAACAAATTCTATGAATAATAGATCTAGGCTATATTAAAGATTATTCAACAAATTTCTAGGTAGATCCCTTAGTTTCCTTAGCAGAAGTTGTTTCATTGGGCACTCATTCATGCTTCCGTTATTTTAGATGAATGGATCTCGCATGATCTTTGTGGGGAAGCTTATTCTAGGTCTCACATTCAAAACTACTCTCAACTTTTAATATTGTTGCAAATCACTTAAATTGAACTTTGTATTCTGCCTACCCCATTTTGAAATTTAAATATATTAACAACCTACAACATATTAGAGTTAGGGTTGAGAATAAAATAATAATATATTAGAAAATAACTTAACCCAAGAATTCAAAAGGTTGTGTTTTGAACTTTCATCTCACTTAGGTACTTTCTCTCTCTTAACTGCTTCTTTCTCTCTTTCTCTAAGAACTACAAATTTAACTCAAATATTGTGTTTCTAAATCAATCTGTTCCAAAATTTATTTTCTTTCAACAAGTCAAGAACAAAAAGACATATACAATTGATGGCTTTTAAGCCAAGTAGTGAGAAGATTTAAGGTAGTGTATTGAATTAAGATTTTGTTAGATTTTTAAAACATTGTTGAGTGTGATGGAATTGAAATGATTTTCTAAGATTTCCATAGATTTCCACAGATTCCAATAGAATTCTACATAGAGTTTTACGGAATTAATGGAACTTTTTTTTATAAATTTAGATTGACTTTGATGAAACATTATGATTTTTATATATTCAATCAAAATTAATTTTAGGATATAATTAAACACATTAAAATATTTTGAGCCCAATTGAAAAATTGAAAAACAATGAGGGACCAAAAAACAAGTCGTCTTCTCCAATCATTTTCTTCTTTGTTAAAACCTTACCGTGGTGGATAGTGAAAGGCATGCAATGGCCAATGTCATCGCTGACCATCCCGCACCTCCAGAACAGTTGCAGTATGGTCGGAAGACCACAAACTTCTGCTCCCTTACCTGAACAATGACCGTTAAGGTGAGCAAATGATCAGTTCGGTTCAAATTGAATCGAATCAAGATAAAAAAATACAAACCGTATTTTTTTATTAATGGACCAAACCGAACTAAATTTTCCTACTGAACTGAATCGAATCAAATTGAAAGAGTCAGGTAGGTCAATTTTGATCTATTTTTTCATTTCAATTCGGTCTTAAGCCCAACCGATGGATTTCTATGAAACTAACCCGAATCGAATAATAAATTTGGTTCAAATTGAATAAATCGACAACCGAACCTTTCTTGATTTAGCTGACCAGACCAAACCAAAATGAGTCCCTTCGATTCGGTCGGTAAATTTGCACACGCCTAGCAACTGTCTCATCAGAAAATAGCCGGTTTAAATATTTTTTTAATTTAAAATGAAAATTTAAAAAAATATATGTACCTAGAACTCTAAAATCCAATGAAACCTTTGGGTTGGAAGATGGATTTGTGAACTACTCTTCTATTCATATCCAGCACTCTAAAATCCAACGAAATCAATAATTTTATAAAAAAAATTCTTCCAACTTAGCAATTTTTTAAATACCATTAAATTTGTATAAATTTTTAAAAAGTCATAATTGAATACCAGTAGATTTTTATGAATTTTACACGAGTATGAATCGAATGCCACACTTAAAAAATCTAAATTGAATACTATTAAAATTTTTAAATCTTTTACGATCTAATAAAATTCTAATCCAATACACCCTTTTAAAGATAATATCTTTACATCCAACGCACCCATGGCTTGTCATTGCCAACAACTCTTGTCACATCTCTGTTTGGAATTAGGAATACATTTAGTTTTCTTTGAAATATATTAGGCCCGTTTGTCACAGTTGTTAGTTTTTAGTTTTTTATTTATTAGAAACATGAAGCAATTTTTAGTTTTAGTTTCTAGTTTCTTATTTATTAGAAACATGAAGCAATTTTTAGTTTTAGTTTCTAGTTTCTTATTTATTAGAAACATGAAG